CTGGGGACACCTCAGGGTGCTGGGAAGATTTGGGACACTGTGACATCTGGGGACACCTTGGGGTGCTGGGGGGGATCAGGGACCCCTCAGGGGTGCTTGGGGACACCATGCCAGCTGGGATCACCTCGGGGTGCTGGGGACTGGGGATACCACACTGGCCAGGGACACCTTGGGGTGCTGGGGGCCGCTGACCGCCCAGGGGTGCCCCATGCTGGGTGCCCTGTCCCTGTCCCCCAGAAGCCCTCGGCCATCTGCGCCCACTTGGAGCTGTGCCCGGGTGAGCATTGGGGGGGCCCGGCCGCGCCCCCCCTGGGGGCCCTCAGCACCCACCTCCAGGTATGGGGACACGGGGGTCTGTGGACATCTCCATGGGCGTGGGCATGGACATGGGTGTAGGTGTCTGTGGGCATGGACATGTCCGTGGGTATGGGCATGGGTGTCTGTGGGCATCTCCATGGGCATGGGCATCTCCATGGACATGGGTGTCTGTGGGCACCTCTGTGGGCATGGGCATCTCCATGGGTATGGGCATCTGTGGGCATGGACATAGGTGTCTGTGGGCACCTCTGTGGGCATGGACGTGGGTGTGGGCATCTCTGTGGGCATGGGCATCTCCATGGGTGTGGGCGTGGGTGTCTGTAGGCATCTCCGTGGGCATGGGTCTCTGTGGGCACGGACATGGGTGTGGGCATCTCCATGGGCATGGACATGGGCGTGGGCATCTCCGTGGGCATGGGTGGCTGTGGGCATCTCCATGGGCATGGACGTGGGTGTGGGCATCTCCGTGGGCATGGACGTGGGTGTGGGCATCTCCGTGGGCATGGGTGTGGGTGTCCATGGGCATGGACATGGGTATGGGCACCTCCGTGGGTGTCCCTGTGGGCATAACCGTGGGCATAAAGTGGGGATCTCCGGGGGCTTCCACAGGGGTACATCTATGGGTAGTTACTTGGGCAACTCAAGGGCCCAGTGTGGCCACGAACACGGGCACCCTTGGGGGCATCCAAGGGGCAAGCGTGGCCACAGACAGGGGCACCCTTGGGGGCATTTTGGGCCCCCATCGGCCCCTCTGCGGGCACAAGCAGGGCCGCAGCCCCACCATTAGGCTCCAGAGTGAACGC